CTGTACAGGCGGAACGCGCCTTTCGACTGTTCTCGTAGCGATATGGGGTCATGGCAGCGTAAGGCCGTTCATCTCCGCTATGCGTGCCTGATCCACAACTGCTCATTTGTTCCACAGAATGAATATCACAGTATACGCGCCAACAAATGAGACATAAGGTATTGATCTTGGAAACCACAGGAGAAACAAAAACCTATGCCATTGGAAAGAATAACAGAAACATATTCATGCCATCCGTAGCGCCACCGTGAGGTTCCGGATACCAGACTAACACTTCGCTGCACACCATCAAATGTTCTTGGTGACACCAGGTTGAACAGTCTCCAGGATCTCACTCAACTCGGTCCAGACTTTCTTCTCAGCAGCCTTTCCATCGTCGCTCCTTACAAACGGCGACAGATGGCTGTCGTCGACGACCGCATCGGTCATGTACTTACCATGCGATCCCGGCCCTGCCACGGCAGCAGCCACCAGAGTCCGACTGCCCACCTCCGTCGAACGGGCCAACAGGAGCTTCATGATCCACAGGCCCCATCCTGCTTCACGGGCGAGTTCGGAGTGGCACAGTCCTGGGTTGAGGTAGTTCAGCACGACGCCTGAATCGGCCATTTTGGGCGCGATCTCCCTGACCACGAGCACTTCGAGCAGTTTGCTCGTCGGGTACCGCTCATCGAAGTTGGTCTTGGCTTTGTCGTCGAGCGCGGTGAAAGTATTTGGCTCTTTCCATTCGGGGAACTTGGTCCAGCCGTGGACTTCACTCGACACGATGGTCAGGTGGGGCGTGGTCTTGAACTCCTTGGCCGTGGATCGGAGTTTGGGCAGGAGGAGCAGGGCGAGGAGGAAGGTCGATATGACGTTGACTGTGATGGTGCGTTCGTGGCCCTCGGCGAAGTCGAACTGCTGAGTCGCTATGCCTGCGTTCTCGACAAGGACGTCGATGCGAGGAAGATCTGATGAAGCGCGGCTCGCGAAGGCTTTGACCGAGTCGTATGAGGATAGGTCGAGGGGCCAGACCTCGATGACTGAGGCATCGCACTTGGTTGTGGCCTCGATGTCTTTCTTTGCGGCGTCGCCGGCCTTGGTGTTGCGGACGGCTAGAATGACCTTTGAGGCTCCTAGGCGAGCGAAGTGGCGGGCTGCCTCTTTGCCCAGTCCCGTATTCGAGCCGGTTACAATGACAGTCTGACCGGCGAAGGAGGCGGTTGGGTACGGGAGCCTGACGATCAGTTGAGACCACAGAAATGACATCCTGATTCTGATTCTGATGGTCCTGGCACAAATCAAGAAGGGAAGTGGGCGAGCTTTGAAGTATTTGTCGATATGTTAAGCTGAAAATATATTGGATGGAGAAGAGACCTATTCCCCCGCAGACTTGACACTTTTATACACCTTGAAGGAAGGGAGATAACATCAACAATGGCGCTTCTAGGCAGGGCTTAACGCCGTAACGAATCGGCAGTACTGAAGCAAGCACCAGTAAGCCATGATGCGCACATCCGATGCGAGTAGAATCTTGCGTGAACCTTGTTACTGATCAGTCGAGAATTGCACGCTAGTCTTCCTCGGGTGATACTCTCGAAGTCGGGATCCACATCTTTATTTTCACAGGTTTGATTCGACACTGTTCCGTAGTCCTTCTTAACGCCGTGCAATTCCCGTTGGTATTTTCTGATCGCATATGCGCCTCGAAATGCAGGCCCAAACTGCTTCCTACATCCCTAACCGTAAACGAAGTAAGAACAAAAGGGCCACAGTGCAATAAAGTCCAAGTTAATGACCCGGGATACCAGTGATCTTGTATCCAGCCTGGAGCCAGCCTTGCCGGCGCCCGCGGACAAGCCTTATCGGCGATAAGGATGAAATCTTGGCAGAGAAACTGCAACTGCAACATTTTTTTGTCCGAGGTTGAGGCTTGACGCATTCGAGATCGATTTTATCTAACAGCCGCCCAACATGGCGCCCTCGCAGCTCAAACAGTTGAAGGCCTCCTTACGCGATCACGGTGTCCTCGGCCCTCAAAAGTCCAAGAAACAAAGAAAGGCCACATCAAAAGATGCCCAGAAACGCAACCAGCGCAATGCCGCCCTGGAGAGCATTCGAGAGCGCTTCAACCCTTTCGAGGTCAAGGCACCGGCTCGGAAAGACAAATTTGAGGTCGCAAGTGGAAGGAAAGCACAACCTTCATTGGGTCGACCCGGTGTGACACGTGGTCTAGGCGAAGAGCGACGTCGAGAGACATTGTTGAAAGAGATGCAGAGTCGGAACAAAGTTGGAGGGTTGCTGGACCGTCGATTCGGTGAAAATGATCCTACCATGACACCTGAGCAACGAGCCGCCGAGCGGTTCGCTCGTCAAAACGAACGGAAGTTGAGGAAAACATCAATGTTTAATCTAGAGGATGACAGCGAGGAAGAGATGGCACTCACGCACGGCGGGAGGTCGCTCGACTTCGGGGGTCAAGCACAAGACGACTTTGATGAGCGTGATGTCGCGGCCTCAGATGACGACGCCGCAGAATTTGAGGGGCAGAATGACAGACCACGGAAGAAGCTGCGCCTTGAAGACTCTGCGGATACACAAGTTGAAGAAGGCGTTGAAGAAGGCGATGAATTGCCCCAGCGGAGAAAATCGAAGAACGAAGTGATGAAGGAGGTCATCGCAAAGTCGAAGTTCTACAAAGCCGAGCGACAAGCCGCAAAAGCTGATGACGATGACTTGCGAGCGGAGCTGAATAAAGGAATGTCGGAGTTTTATGAAGCTCTTCGAGACCACAAACCACCCGAAAAGCAACTACCTTCACCGCCAGTCACGGAGGCCGACCCCCACATGGATCCTGCCCGAGCTGCAATGTTGGCCGGCAAGAGCAGGCAGGACGCAGAGAAGGAGTACGAGGCCAATCTCAGGGCTTTGAAACTGGAATCCCGGTCCAAGCCAAGTGTGAGGACGAAGACAGAAGAAGAAAAGGCTGCCGAAGAAGCTGCAAGACTTGAAGAATTAGAGAGAAAACGCATGCGCAGAATGAAGGGGGAAGCCGAGAGCTCAGACGATGATGAAGATGCTGAACTCGGCCCAGACGAGGATTTAGATTTCGAGGAAGACGATGCCGAGCCTTTTGGACTCGCTGCACCGGAGGCCGCTCCAAGCAGAGAATTGGACGTCGAGGATGAAGACGAATTCATGCTTGAAGATGATCTGATAGCCTCTGATTCTGAAGCGGAGGTGGCCAGCGAGCAGGGGCTTGAGGAGTCCGAATCCGAGGACGAGGCGGAAGATGATGGGGACGACGACTTTATAAATGGCCTGGTCTTGCCCCCAGGATCGAAGGCACTGCACGCCAAATCAGCAAACAAAGCCTTGGTGAGCGACAATCTTGCTTACACCTTCTCCTGCCCACAGACACATGAAGAATTGTTGGCTCTGGTGAAGGACACCAAATTCACAGATCTGCCGACCATCATTCAGAGGATCCGTGCGTTGTACCACAAGGGCCTTGCACAAGGTAACCAGGAAAAGCTCGACGTGTTTGCGGTTGTCTTGACGCAACATGTGGCATACCTTGCGGACAACAACAGTGACGTGCCCTTCTCGGTGCTGGAAAGTCTGCTGCGGCATCTTCATTCGATGGCCAAAGCCTCACCGCAAGCAGTTGGAGATGCTTTCCGAAGACACCTTGAAAGTATAGCTGAGGAGCGCCCTCTCAAACTCTCTCCTGGCGACCTGGTCATCTTGACGGGTGTTTCGACTATCTTTCCGACGTCCGATCACTTCCATGCGGTCGTGACGCCGGCGATGCTCACACTCGGCCGTTACCTTGGGCAGAGCTCACCACAATCTCTGCACGATCTGGGAGTTGGTGCATACTGCTGTTCACTGGCGCTCCTGTATCAGCGGCTGGCGAAGCGATACGTTCCAGAAGTGATCGCCTATGTTGTTGATGCATTGGCCATCCTTGCCCCAGCTTCATTACCTGATGCAGACAAAGACGGGCAGCCGCTCAATATTCCCCTCAGGCTACCACAAAAGTCATTGCGGACGAAGTCGGCCGCAGAAGCTCCGGGTAAATTGTCCTTCAAACAGCTCGTCATCGACGCAGACGGACAAGATGATGCTGCCAAATCACTGGCCCTTCTCAACAGTTTCATTCGGCTGTTCACCCAGGCCGCCGAGTTGTGGAAGCAGAAATCAGCTTTCCCAGAACTCGTGTCCCCTCTCATACAAACCATCAGCCACATAATCTCACACCGCGGCAAGCTCCCCAAGACGTCGGTGGCTCTTGCCTCGAACACATTGGAAACTTTGCAGAGTCTTCAAAAGGCGTCCATCGAGTCGCGCCGGCCTCTCTTGCTTCATAACCACAGACCTCTGGCGATCAAAACTTCCATCCCAGCCTTCATCGAGAACTACAACCCAGACCGCCACTATGATCCGGACAGGCAACGCGCCGACCTCGCGAAACTCAAGGCTGAGCACAAGAAGGAACGCAAGGGAGCCATGCGTGAGCTGCGGAAGGATGCTAACTTCATGGCAAGAGAACAGCTTCGCGAGAAGAAGGAGAAGGATGTTGCCTATGACAAGAAGTTCAAGCGGCTTGTTGCTGAAATCCAGGGAGAAGAAGGTCGAGAGAAGAAGGAGTATGAGAGGGAGAAGAGAAAGAGACAGGGTCGCTTCTAGAGAAGTTTATCTACTACTATGCTACGTCTGTCACCCCTCTGTGATACCCTTCGGAGCATATGAAAACGTGTACAGAAATGGTACATTCGCCATGTCGAGGGTAGATACACTCGTCTAAAAAAGGACGAAATGAAGAAGCAAAAGGAAATGATGCCACCAATACAAGCCTCACCCTTCGGTCCGAAACGGACTCCATATGCTATGACTACTACTAGTACTTCTCATCCAACACACCTCAAGATACATTGTTTTCTATATAGGCCCAAACAAACTCATGAACCCTCCTCAGGTTGGTCCCATACAAGATTCTCAGGGCGCAAAAAGAAAGTTGATCCTGGCGAGACTTGAACTCGCGACTTTCGCATAACTCATAGAGGCATAGTTGCATGCAAGCATACAATATAAGAACGACACGCTAAACCGACTGCGTCACAGGCTGTTGTTCAGTCGTTAGCATCCTGCAAAGATTTATTGCAGGTTCGCTCACGAAAACTTACATCTAATTACCAGCGACATTATGTGCATGAATTTTGACCATAATTTAAGGTTATTAGACATATGACCATCAGATAATCAAGGTCTCTCGGGGGCCGGTTCTTGGCTTGCTTGCTGCCGACATGCGGGCCTTACAGGCTATCGAGGAGTGCTTCCCAACATCCTTATTCCTTCGTTACTGGTAGTGATGTTTTCCCCCAACAAGTAACCTGTTGACAATAATCCGAAAGATAGGGACAATCCTGTGAAGAGAGAGAAGGATTTGTCCCCTTGATATCATGCTATCCTAGTGACGGTAAGGACTGTTTGAACACTTCGTCCTGCAATTGCTTTCCATTTTCGGTTACCAAAACAATACCTCGAAAACCTCATTGCTGAAGTCCATTAGAGGTCCACCAACTCATATAATTTTGCCGAGCATTGTCGATCTCGTACCCCTCTTTTGCACCGTGCCAAATATGGCTTCGACTATGGAGGGTATAGGTGCTGCTGGAAATGAGGATGATGACTACATGAACATGACCTTCGAAGATCCAGATGCCTCCAAAAAGCCCGAAACCCTCACACAACGAAAGAAGCGACTCGCCAGAGAGGCCGAGATCAAAGCACGGCCAAAGTCGAAGGCAGAATTGGCAGAAGAAGAGCGCAAGAAAAGAGAGGCCGCGCTGAACTCTACCACGTTGGACACCAGCAGTAAAGGTTTCAAAATGATGGCGGCACTCGGGTACAAGCCTGGAACAGCGTTGGGTGTTTCCAGGCCTGGTGGAGCAAGCGCAGACAAAGATGACAGATTACTCGAGCCTCTGGGACTTGAGATGAAGGACACGAGGAGCGGCGTGGGCGCGGATGCAGAGAAGAAGCGCAAATTCCGCGAAGAGATGGAGGCGCAGGCCGAGGTTGAGAAGAAGCGCAAGGTCGAGACTGGCGACTTCAGAGAACGACAGCAGAAAGAGCGAGAGGAGAAGAAGATGGAAGGGCAGATGTGGGGGGCGATGAAGGTCTGCGAGAGGCTTGAGGAGGAAGAGGAAGATCAAGAGGCTCAAGAGACCGAAACCGAAACCGCCGACGGTGTGAGGCGACGGAGAACGAAGCCCCTCAAGAGTGTCAATGTCCTGTGGCGGAATCTCGTCAAGCAGAGAGCTATCAACGAGCGAGATCGGAGGATGAGATACGATCTGCATCAGTCGTTGTCAAGGCGTCCAGACTATAATGACCCCGATGAAGAGGAAGAAGATAGAATGGCACTGGGAAAGAAGGCTGAGACTGAAGAGGTCGATGTAGATCTCGACGAGGAAGATGAGGAGCTCAATGAGTTTGAAGCGCTAGAGGTACCGGAGAAACTGACAAAGTTGGTGGCCTATCTGCGGGAGAGGTGGCATTACTGCTTCTGGTGCAAGTTTCAGTACCCGGACAAAGAGATGGAAGGGTGTCCTGGCTTGACCGAAGAGGATCATGATTGAAGCACGGAACAGTTATCATCTTACTAGTATTCACCATCAAAGATCTTTGTATACATTCATTGCTTACAAGGGATTCCATTCTGTAATTGTGATCAGTGTGAAATTACCTGGTAGTCACAGCTGTGCTCAGCCTCGTTCAGCCTCGCCAAACAGGTTTGGTCGAGGCTTCAGCCTGATTTCTTCCACAACCACCATCAACTTAGGTCTTCATCAAACACCAAAGAATACTACTATGCGTTCCCAATCATGCCGTTCTTCTCGTCTAATGGGTTCTTGGCCGTGGTCCTCATCGTGGGTCTCGGTACAGCGTGCTACTCCATCCCCAGTCTTCTACAACAGGTCAAAGATGCTGCCCGGGCACCAAAACCTGAACCACCACCGCCACGCAATCGCCTGCAAAAAGACTCGGAGAATTCGCTGAGAATAGACACGCTGCATACGCTGGCGGACGGCTATAGCTACGAACTCCGCAACTCTGCGGTCAAAATCGTCACAAGCAGGACCATCCACTCCCGTGCTAAGGACTTATTACTCCGCGACCTCACCAGTAGGGACTACGAGCGGCGCGACAATGCCATCAACGGACTATTGATGATGCTGCGGCACCAGAGTCTCAGCGACAGGTATCAGAACCTGGGTACAGACTTCAATATCGCCAAACGCATCAAGGCGACCGTGCGGGCGCTGGTCAACGTCCTACCAATGCACGCAGACCATGGAGGACACGAACAACAAAAGAGGGGACTACTTCCGCCGTCGCCGATCCTGCCGGTCACTCGTCCTGCGCAGGAGGAGTCACTCCTCGTCATTTTGAATTACATGCTCACCGAAGAGCCGGCCAGGAACGTCGTCAGAGTGGGCGAGGAGCCAGCGATCAGCGCGGCGCTCAAGGCCGGCCTGGTCACCAAGTGGCTGGCCAGGTATCCGTTTCCCTGTGCGCTGCCGGAGAACCAGGGGTATAATTTCAAACGGTCGGACGTGGCGCGGCTGTTTGAGCGCATGGCCTGGAAGACGGACGACCATCTCATGGCCGGCATCATCTTCCAGGTCGTGCACCATCCGTTGGGCCGGAAACAGATGCGCGAGGCGGGCCTGCAGGCGAGCAGTTACAGGGAGAATGTGGATCCGGACTCGTGGCAGTCGGGCTGGATTGCCGAGCGGTGGGATCACATCGATGATGCTAGTGACATTGACAACGATGTGGCCATGATAGGCGGCGAGGCTACGGCTGGGCGTTTTCAGGTCATCAGGGACGATGATGTTACGGTGTGGGAGGAGACGGTGCCGGCGGTTACAAGGCAGCGGTCGGTGGAACGGAGTCAAGAAGAGGAACATCTACGGCGGAGACATCGTGAGGCCATCGTCGTCGCGGAGCGTGGTGCGCCTTTGAGAAGAGAGAACATCCTGCAGCGGGGAGATAGCATGTTGGATGTCCGGCCTATGCATGGCGTGAGCGAGGTCGAGGGCGATTTGAATGGGCTGTTGGGTCTTTCTGACGAGGGCCGGGAGGATGATCAGGACGCGGCTTCGGAGCATGGCAGTCATCGTTCGGGAGAAGATCTCGAAAGTGCACCAGTTGCAGATGAGTGATTCCTGGATAGGACGGGAATGTACAACATCTGGCTTCACTGTAGCAGGGACGACTTTTTGACATGGGCATAGGAGTACACATTGCGAGGCGGTTTGAGGCCTCGGGCTGGGCAAGGCCGGAGGTATTTCTGGGTGTACATCGATGGGATCAGGGTCAACTTGCACCGCGGGAAGTGAGCACTCAGCATAGCGTCGTGGCTGAATATTGATTTTGGTTTACAGCTTCCAACTGTCCTCAGCAGATAGTCATGGCCGCATTCTAGGTCCATTGCATTTTAGCCTCGTGAGTAGCGCCCATGAACCCGAATCTCATGCATCGTGCAACCGTATGATGCCGTTCCTGTGCCTGCAACCTTGCAAAATGGCCACATACAACAACAACACCCTCCACCGATTGTCTCTTCTTCCCTCTACTTCAATGGAATAAACCGCGAAGAGTGGGTGGCACCAATACCGGGTCTACCGTGCTTGACGGGCTTGTATGAGATGGAGAATTCACCAAGATAGTGACCGACCATCTCAGGCTTGACTTCGACCTGGTTGAATTCCTTGCCGCTGTAGACACCGATAACGCTGCCAATCATCTCTGGCACAATGATCATGTTTCGAAGGTGTGTCTTGACGAGGTCGGGCTTCTCGTTGGGCTTTGCCTCCTGCTTGGCCTTGCGCAATTTCTTGATCAGACCCATCGGGCGGCGCTTGAGGCCTCGGTTGAATCGACGGCGGGCGCGAGCATGGAGGATGTTGATGAGTTCGTTGGATGGGATATCGAGCAGTCTGCAGATTTTCAAGGTCAATTCGTGTCCATTGCCACAATCGATGTGGCCGAAACGTACTGATCGAGATCAACGCCTCTGTATGAAAACTTTCGGAATGTTCTTCTCTTCTTGAGCTCAGCGGCCTCCTCGGCGTTCTGAAGTCGAATCAGTTAGTGTGATGCGTCGCTGCATGTTGGGTTTTGAAGACATACGTATTCGGTGTCAGCCATAATTGCGGTTGGACTGCGCGTTCGCTCTTCGAGGTGACTGTCGAAAAACGAGGAGGTGGATGATGGTGCAGTTGGTGGTCGGTCAGTGTCGACGGTTTACAGTGCCTCCGTTGAGATTCAGTTCTCTGAGAGCCTTGGCGTGCCTGCGTAAATTCGGATTGTGGGTGTCCACTATATCCACGTGATCTAAATCTTGGCATCTAATTCACGCTGCAGGCCAGGTGCCGGTAATGGTAGGTAGACTGGGAGTGACTGGGATAATATGGCAAAGTCTTTTACAGTGAGAGACACCTGAATCCCGTAGTTCCCAAACTGGCTTCATGTGATGGTATTGGAACGCACAAGGCCCTCTTCCGGCTCCCCAGTTGAAATGCAATCGACATACAGAAACACCTATGGATGTGGAAGAACGATATTGTGATGGCAATTCGGTTTGATATTGTCTTTGATAACCGTAGTTTGGGTATCAAAATTTGCGCGACTAGACTCTAGACTCTGGGCTCATTCTCCTTGCAGATGGAATTGAATCCATCCGCAGCATCCCCTTCTTCAGCAGTCATAAGTGGTCCATCACGTTTCGCCCGTAGTGCATCAGACAGAGAGTTGATCTCGAGTTGACGGTCTGCAAAAGCGATCGCTTAGTCGAACAGACCGAAGCCCATATCCTCATCAGACTCCTCCTTCTCTTCTTCCTTCTCGGCAGGCTTCTCTTCCTCGGCTGCAGCAGCACCACCAGCAGCGGGGGCACCGCCAGCAGCAGGGGCAGCACCACCGGCGCCACCAGATGGGACAGACGCGAGTTTGGAAGAACCTTCGGAGATCAACTGCATGCTGTTAATTTCTATCCTCAGGAATCGTAGTGCCAGTCGGTCATACCTCGTTGATGTCCTTGCCCTTCAACTCT